TCCCAGGGGCTGACCCATTTCTTGCGTTTGTAAACACAACCAAGACCTACACAGGCACCAGGATTTACATAATTGTTTCATCTCTGAGCCCACATCTTTGTCCAAGAAGTAGGGGGTGACCCTGGATGATAGCTAAATGAAGATGGGTCTGGTCTGTCCATCTGGGGCGAAGATCAGATGAAGGCATTGTCAGTACTGTGACCACTATGACAGGTAATACCTGGAAGTGATACACTGACATATTACTTAGCATGCTGCACTTAACATGACAACCAGGGATGAGCTCAGACATGTTCAGATCTTATTCCATACCCACTTTAGCTGTTCCACCTGAAACCTTTCACTGCACAAAGTAAATCATAAGCTGCTCAAGCATTTCCCACCTTGCAGCTTCACGTATGCACACCGCTTGTATACGTGTGGCTGCGGGGCAGGGAATGCCTCAGCTGCTTTTGATTGGCTTTGTGCCTTGACAGCTTCCTGGCTGGATTGCTCAGGTAGGTTCGGACCAGGGACCGACTGACCATTCAGGCACTGCCCGAGGGCCCAGGGTCAGTAGGGGACCCCATTAGATGCCCCTATTACCTTTCATAGGCTTTTTTGGGCCCCATGGTCCCCTATTGCCCGGGGGCCCCATGAGTTCTCAGTCCACCCCTGGTTCGGACTAGAATTTGTGTAATTAGCAGTAAAGGTCTGCACACGGGGCTGCTGTTATAAACCATGGGCCCCATACAGCCAACCTGACTGCCCCCCCTCCCCCCAAAAAGCTCAGTTTACTATGCTTCAGTTATGAATGAACACAGTGAGTGGTCGGTATTGATCACTCATTGTGTTCATTCAGGAAAGGGGCTGGTAAATTTAACATATTTACTGTACTCTTCCCCCCCACATCCTGAAGGTTCCTATTGTGTGCTTGCAGCTGCCGGTGGCATGGAAAGGAGCACACTGGGGGCCTGGGCAACAGGGGGAAAGGTATGGTGCACAGGGAGGGCGATGGGTGCAGTTGGGGGTAGGGCAAACACTGGAACCAATCCCCTGTATAGCTCTCTCTCTGTAGCAGTTAAAACCAGAGAGAAGAGAGCCATACAGGGGATTGGTTCCAGTAACTGCCCCCCCCCCCCCCATGCTGATCACCCTCCCTGCCTATATCCAATTCACTTATCTGCCTGAGCCCCCCAGCTGGCCTGGGCCCTGTACAAGAGGATTGGTGGTACCAACCTTATCCATGGCCCTGTCTGCACACCACTATTATCTACATCATTTAGCAACCAACAATAGATTATTTTTTAGGGTGCGTAAGCCCCTCCACAGTGTATCAACCTGTTAGTCCAATAGTTTAAAATATATAGAGTAAGTACCACATAACAAAAATAATTTGGCAATAAATTTGAATTAGGTATAAGCATACAAAAGGTACAAATATCCAGGTATATCATATCATATCAAGCAGCATAGGTATTCATTGCCAGGGACATCCCTAGGGTTGGTGTCACCCGGTGCGGTAACACTTGGTGTCATCCCTCCGACGATCCCCGCAGAATGGATCGGATCTGCGGATTGAGCATAATGGATCAAACTCCAATCCATTATGCTCAATCCGCAGATCCAATCCATCCTGTGGGGATCGTCGGCTTGCTTTAAAACTTACCTTTTCGTAGAGCGGGTCTGGTGTTACCTCGTGCGATAGGTGTCACCCGATGCAGCGTGCACCCCCCGCACCTGCCTAGGGACGCCACTGTTTATTGCACTGTTATTGCCAACCAACAAAAATACATGCATTTAAACAGGTATAGTGAGCACCACTAAAGTCATATAGTGGCTGATATTCAGAAATACATATATGAATTTATTACCCAAAATGGAATAATGAGAAGGATAGCAGAGCCAGACCCTGGTGGAAAACCCCAATGTTTTGGGGGTGTGATAACCCCCTTTCCCAACAACCTCCTACCTAACTTACCACCAAAGCACATGTTTCATATATACAATGGCTGCTACTAGCAACTACTTCCCCCGACCATGGCCATTTTGTCTATATTTTAGACTGGGAATTGTCATTGGTTTAAACCTGTCATATAACAGTGTGTAACCGTATGTAGCACTACCCCCTTAGGGGTTGCTGATGAATTGGGTCCCCCTATAGTCCTGCACAGCCAGGCTTCACACATCTTCCATACAGACTTGCTTCAGGAGACAGAAAACCAGCCCTATGAGCTTTGTTTTGAACTTTTATTGGGGATGTGGAACTTGGATAGAGCAAGGGGTGTATGGGATGCCCAAAGGTAACGGCAACAGAGGACAAAACATCCTGAACTATACTACAAGTTGTTACACAGAAATCCTCTTCTAGGAGAGCTCTCCAGCCTCTCCTGGTGTACCACCCCAGACCCCAGATAAATCCTTTTCTTTATCCAGCTTGTCTGGAGGAATCCCTGATCAAGGGAGTCCAAGCTGCCACTTAAATGTAACAGTCCCGGGTGTAGAGCTAGTCAGGTTCCCCACCCAAATGCTCTCTCCCTTTTCTGGCCCAGGGGGTGCAGGAGTACTCACTGGGTCCTTCTCCTGTGCTGCTGTTAGGTAGGTGGCTGCTACCAGGCCTATCAGCTGGGCTGCTGCTTCCCTGCCACCAGGTGGTCCTCTCTCGGGGCCAGTGCAGTCTTGCGGCTTTCTTTCCTTCAAGGTCCCTCTGCCTAGAGGTAAGCCCCTTTCAGCATGGGCTCCCTCCCAGGCTCCTGCACCTCAGCTTTACTTCTCTATCTTCCACCTGCACACGTCTGCTGCTGAGCAGCCTCCAACAATTTTAAGGGTGTCCCAGCCCATTGCCAAGCCTTCTGTTGGGCATTGGCTGAGGTCCCTCAAGAGTGCAGCCAATCGCTCCTCAGATCCACCCACTACCTCTTGAGCCTCCCTCCAAAGCTCCAGAACGGGGAAATTCCAGAGAGGCTGGCTCACTGATCTGTAAGAAAGAAAACTAGTGGCAGAACATAAAATAAGGAGAAAAGAAAGGAGTAGGAAGAATGGGAAGAAAAAAAGAGGAAGAAGGGAGCATACCGCAGGGGGAACTAGCACATACGACTCGTTGATGGCTAGCAATTATAAATCCAGAAAGCGTGTAGGTGGTAGCATATTCGGGAATTGGTCTAGCCAAGGTTGCCAAGTCCATAAGAATGTATCATGCGTTTCAGTAAATATTCACAATCATTTGACTTTGGAGCATGTTCACCATATGTGAGGTTTTTTTCTCCTCCTCTCTCTTTTCACCAGGGTCTGGCTCAGCTATCCTTCTCATTTTTCCATTTTGAGTAAATTCCTGTATGTATCACTAAATCACATTTCTTATTTGTTATGTCAGCTCTTGGCTTATGTAAAAATCTTCTCATGAGTCCTTATGCAGGTTCACATGTAGAACTGTATTGATTATAGTATAGACATATATTCACAATTATTTGACTTTGGAGCATGTCCACCATATTTGATTCATATTACCTTGCTCTGAACATCCCCGAAAGCAGGAAGAAGGGTAGGTAGGGAGGTATGTCGCAATACTTGCTGGAGTGTAATACCACCTCAACAGAACCTTGTGTGAGTTTTCCAGGGCCACTACATCACACAAACGGTGAAATAGTGTCTCCCATATTGCATGCCAGTCCTCATGGGACAGCAAAGTGCGAGGTTTGATTCCCAACATGTGCAAAAAGAAGGGGCCTGGGTGGTGGAAGAACTCAAAAAACAGGAGTCTAGTAAAGACACTAAGCCTTGGTTGCGGGATGAATGTGGCATCTAGTTTCAAAGTTTGTAGAGGGTGTGAATCAAGGCTGTGAATCCTCAACAAGTCACTGTTTGGAAGCTAATCCTGAAACGTCCCCATCAGAGTTCTTGACAATCATTATTTGTACTACACTACATGCATCTGTTCACTTTTGCTGTTCTTAGTCAAGCTAGGCTACACCCCGCTCCCATGCTGTCTTGCCTTAGCACAAGCCAGTTGGCACATGATCCAGCCATACTGTGGTTGGCAAATCTTGGGAGCAGAGTACAACCAGAAGTGATGTCACTCCCAGAAACAGAAACCGGAAGTGATGTGGCTGGCCGGGGGAAGTAGTTGCTAGTAGCAGCCATTGTATATATGGAACATATACTTAGGTGCTTAGCCTGTTAGGAGGTTCTTGAGTAAGGGAGCTCTCTCACCCCTAAAATATTGGGTTTTTTCTCCTCTTCTCTCTTTTCACCAGGGTCTGGCTCAGCTTTCCTTCCCATTATTCCATTTTGGGTACTAAATTCCTATTTGTATGTTGTATTTCTGAACATCAGCCACTATATGACTTTAGTGGTGCTCACTATACCTATATACATGCATGTATTTTTGTTGGTTGGTTTTAACAATGGAGTGAATACCTGTTGTATTATGCTTGATGTGATATGACATGTTTGAATATTTGTACCTATTGTATATTGTATTGGGCAGAACAGTGGCTAAATGGTTAGCACTTACGCCTGGCAGTACTAGGGTCGCTGGTTCGAATTTCAACCATGGCACCACCTGCCTGGAGCTTGCATGTTCTGCCTGTGTTGGTTTCCTCCAGGCACTCTGTTTCCTCCCACATTCCAAAGATATGCTGGTAGGTTAATTGGCTCCAGTCTAAATTGGCACTAGTATATGAATGTATGTTAGGGACTTTAGATTGTACACCCCTTGAGAGTTAGGGACCAATATAAATGTACAATATATATGTAAAGTGCTACATAAATTGATGGCGCTATATAAGTACATAAAATAAATATTGTAAAATTGTATATATATGCCTTGACTTGTGAGCTACTTCCCTGCCTGACTTCAATCCTCCGACATATAAAACCACTTCAATGGCCATTAAGGGAAATTTTATGGGACCGAGTGTGAAAATGTGGGTCAAGCTCAACTATAAATTAAACCTCTGGTAACATTATAATTAAACCAGAGAGGCAGTCTCCTAATACATGCATGTGTGTACACGAACAAATTATTTGTATGGTTCATGCTCACCCCATGGTACAATAAGTTCCTCTACAAGACTACAATGATCGATGTGACAGGAGTAGGTACTGCCATCTTTTGGTGTCACTTTTATGGAGACTATGAACTGGTACGTGCCATCATTATTCGGCAGGATAGGCGTAGACTCAACTAGGTGGACCACATCTTTCCCATTCTTCACCCATTTCACATCCACCTCCTGCGGGTAGAACCCGTAGACCCGACAGTGAAGGTTTGTGACATCGCCTAATTCCTGAGACGAAATCTTTACCTGTGGAGAAACTAAACAGGCAAGGCCAGTTTTAGAATAATAATCATCTGCAACTGTTCTTTAAAAAATTCTAAATTCATTCTAATTCTACTTTTAGGTGAATAATTGGCTGAAAACGACCCATACCGGTTACTGTACCCTCAAAGGACAAATATTTCTATATGTAATGCAAAGAGAACTGGCCATTGGAGCCTCAATGGGATTGTCCAGGTAAAACTGGAGACAATCTACGTAATTTGCTAATAGTTAACAATAGACTGCTCATAATGCCTGCAGTCATTATCAGAATGAATATATAAGCCTTCTAAATTAATAATACATACAATTATTTTTTTTAAACGCTAACAATCCCTTAATAAACATCAAATACATGTAAAATAGAAACATTATGGGCTCAATCATCGTCGTGGAGGGGTTTCAAGGAAAAAAGTGAAGGGGCATAAACCCAAGAACAAAAATATTATATAATGTAGTTTAGCTGCCTTCAGATGTGATGTTTGCAGTTGTTTTCTTTTTTCAGGTTCTTTATTACCACCAGGTAATCCTGCCAGTAACACACTTCCTGTCCGAGAGTGACAACACTCACTGTACTGAATCTATGGAGTAGCGGCGTAGTCACCCTAGGACAGGAAGTATGGTTAGGAATAGAGAAAACTTCTCCCTGTTTTCCATCACATAGAGAAGTTGTTCTGTAGTCTACACAAATAGTTGGGAACAATCTCACCTAACACTCAGCACAGGCAGACAGTATGGGAAGTTATCATTTCACAAGATTTATTTTCTCATTTGAAGTTTTACTAAGTTCAAAAATGTGGAATATAGAATGATTAGTTCTGCATATTGTAAAACAAAACATTAAGAGTGCACAGGCTCAGCACCTTAGAAATATGCAAAAGCTAATAGTCAAAATTCAGAATATTATGAAGCAGTTTTAAAGAGCAGAGGAGGAAGAGCAGTGGTTCCCAACCTCAGTCCTCAAGTACCCCCAACATGTCAAGTTTTCAGAATTTCCTTCACCTCCGTCAATGCAAAATGTCCCGTATACTGCTGTAATCTTCTGCTGCTCTTATGTCAATACTAGCCCCCCCCCCCTCCATTCATAGAAGCCGTGCTAAAGCTTACATCAATTAAATGCACTCTATGAATGGAGGAGACAGACCTCTCATTCATCTGCTTGTCCTCCATCACAGATAGCCTTTGATTTTAGCTAAAACCACAGCCATCAGGACAAAGGACACTTTGCATTGACTGTAAGCACCATCCCTTGTGCTGATTTTTTTTCTTTTTTTAAGTTTTGACTAAACTTAGGCTTTAACATATTTAGAAGTAGCAAATAAAAGATGTTCATTGTTAAAATTTACATATGCTGACATTGTGCTAAGTCTTGTTGCCTTATGATCTCACCTCTCCTCTCCAGCGCTCTTCTTCCGTAACCAAAGTATTTCTTCAGTAATTCCACACACCTCATTTCCAGAATATATTTCCATCTCTGACCTGCCCCATCCTCTGCGGAGTTCCATCGCTGTGTGCTAATTTGAGCTTCGTATACGCTGGGCTCAAACACCCATCTCTCAGTATCCAGTGTGAGAAAATCTCTGCCATCGTAGCCATATCGATAATACAGCCTGGAACTGTTATCATGCCTCAGCTCGCATCCGTACATCAGCTGGAAAATATGGAAACCTGAGGAGAAGACCAGGAGAAAGGTTCTCTAAAGAGTGTCTGTCAGGAAAGATAGATGATAGATAGATAGATAGATAGATAGATTATTATGAGATAGATAGATAGATAGATAGATAGATAGATAGATAGATAGATAGATAGATTATTATGAGATAGATAGATAGATAGATAGATAGATAGATAGATAGATAGATAGATTATTATGAGAGAGATAGATAGATAGATAGATAGATTATTATGAGATAGATAGATCACTCTAACCTCCAGTCTGGTTAAATCGACTCATGGCTGTCTTGATATTGTGTTTGAACACCATCTTCCACCAGTCTTTGTCTTCATACAAAGTATGTGCCCAGTTTTCCAGATCTCCATTGTCCATCCATGGAACCCCAGGTCGAGTTGCACCGGTGTTGCTGCTGTATATGGTTGTCATCTGGTCATCCAAGTACTGGACAATAGAAAACACAGGCAGTCCAGGCACTGGATTGGAGACCCCCGTGAAGGAATAATGGAGTTGATGGCTACCTGCAAGGGGCATACAAGAACTCCATCTTAGGACATATAAATTGTATTAGAAGTCTCTAGCCAAGTAGATCATTACTTTTTGAATCCAACACTGTATTGTTTTGCTCTCCCTGTATGTAGTTCTAGTCAGAGGCGTCTCTAGGGTTGGTGTCACCGGTGTGGTAACATTTGGTGACACCCTCTCCGACAATCCCCGCAGAATGGATCGGATCTGTGGATTGAGCATAATGGATCGGACTCTGATCCATTATGCTCAATCCGCAGATCCGATCCATCCTGCAGGGATCATCGGCTTTCTTTACAACTTTCCTTTTCGTGGAGCGGGTCTGGTGTCACCCTGTATAGGTTGCATCTCGACGATCTCCGCAGGACGGTTCAGATCTGCAGATTGAGCATAATGGATTGGAGTCTGATCCATTATGCTCCCCAATCCGCAGATCCCATCTATCCTGCGGGGATCATCGGCATGCAACCTATACAGGGTGACACCGGACCCGCTCCACGAAAAGGAAAGTTGTAAAGAGAAAGCCGACGATCCCCGCAGGATGGATGGGATCTGCGGATTGGGGAGCATAATGGATCAGACTCCAATCCATTATGCTCAATCTGCAGATCTGAACCGTCCTGCGGAGATCGTCGAGATGCAACCTATACAGGGTGACACCAGACCCGCTCCAAGAAAAGGAAAGTTGTAAAGAAAGCCGACGATCCCCGCAGGATTGTTGGCTTGCTTTACAACTTACCTTTTCATTGAGCGGGTCCGGTGTCACCACGTGCGGTCGGTGTCACCCAGTGTGGGCCACACCCCCCGCACCTGCCTCAGGACGCCACTGGTTCTAGCTACATGCTTGTATAATGAACATCTACTTTTCAATCTTTCCCAGAAGGCAGGAGTTTTGGCTTATTTCATTTAAATGTCGACGGATAGTTCGCGCTGACACTGATGCTCCCTGAGCCTGCAGGACAGCTTGAATGTCTTTGGAACATGTTTGGGGCTGCTTATCCACCATCCGGGACTATTCTGCGTTGCAATCTTTCATCAATTTTCCTCATCCGTCCACGACCAGGGAGATTAGCTACAGTGCCATGGGTTGCAAACTTCTTGATAATGTTGCGCACTGTGGACAAAGGCAAATCTAGTTCTCTGGAGATGGACTTGTTGTAACCTTGAGATTGTTGATATTTTGCCACAATTTTGGTTCTCAGGTCCTCAGACAGTTTCTCGTCTCCTCTTTCTGTTGTCCATGCTTAGTGTGGCACAGACAGACACACAATGCAAAGGTTAAGTGAACGTCTCTCCTTTTTTATCTGCTTTCAGGTGTGATTTCTATATTGCCCACACCTGTTACTTGCCCCAGGTGAGTTTACAGGAGCATCACATGCTTGTAACATTCTTATTTATCCGCAGTTGGAAAGGGTGCCAATACTTTTGTCCAGCCCATTTTTGGAGGTTTGTGTGACATTATGTCGAATTTGCTTTCTTTCCTCCCTTTTTTTGTTTTGTCCCAATACACACAAAGGGAATAAACATGTGTATAGCAAAACATGTGTTAATGCAATACGTTTTCGTGAGAAATACATGATTTCCTGGAGAAATATCAAGGGTGCCAACAATTTCGGCCATGACTGTAGATAGATTATTATGAGAGAGATAGATAGATAGATAGATAGATAGATAGATAGATTATTTATGAGAGAGATAGATAGATAGATAGATAGATAGATAGATTATTATGAGATAGATAGATAGAATAGATAGATAAAGATAGATAGATAGATTATTATGAGAGAGATAGATAGATAGATAGATAGATAGATAGATAGATAGATTATTATGAGATAGATAGATCACTCTAACCTCCAGTCTGGTTAAATCGACTCATGGCTGTCTTGATATTGTGTTTGAACACCATCTTCCACCAGTCTTTGTCTTCATACAAAGTATGTGCCCAGTTTTCCAGATCTCCATTGTCCATCCATGGAACCCCAGGTCGAGTTGCACCGGTGTTGCTGCTGTATATGGTTGTCATCTGGTCATCCAAGTACTGGACAATAGAAAACACAGGCAGTCCAGGCACTGGATTGGAGACCCCCGTGAAGGAATAATGGAGTTGATGGCTACCTGCAAGGGGCATACAAGAACTCCATCTTAGGACATATAAATTGTATTAGAAGTCTCTAGCCAAGTAGAATCATTACTTTTTGAATCCAACACTGTATTGTTTTGCTCTCCCTGTATGTAGTTCTAGTCAGAGGCGTCCCTAGGGTTGGTGTCACCCGGTGTGGTAACATTTGGTGACACCCCTCTCCGACAATCCCCGCAGAATGGATCGGATCTGTGGATTGAGCATAATGGATCGGACTCTGATCCATTATGCTCAATCCGCAGATCCGATCCATCCTGCAGGGATCATCGGCTTTCTTTACAACTTTCCTTTTCGTGGAGCGGGTCTGGTGTCACCCTGTATAGGTTGCATCTCGACGATCTCCGCAGGACGGTTCAGATCTGCAGATTGAGCATAATGGATTGGAGTCTGATCCATTATGCTCCCCAATCCGCAGATCCCATCTATCCTGCGGGGATCATCGGCATGCAACCTATACAGGGTGACACCGGACCCGCTCCACGAAAAGGAAAGTTGTAAAGAAAGCCGACGATCCCCGCAGGATGGATGGGATCTGCGGATTGGGGAGCATAATGGATCAGACTCCAATCCATTATGCTCAATCTGCAGATCTGAACCGTCCTGCGGAGATCGTCGAGATGCAACCTATACAGGGTGACACCAGACCCGCTCCAAGAAAAGGAAAGTTGTAAAGAAAGCCGACGATCCCCGCAGGATTGTTGGCTTGCTTTACAACTTACCTTTTCATTGAGCGGGTCCGGTGTCACCACGTGCGGTCGGTGTCACCCAGTGTGGGCCACACCCCCCCCCCGCACCTGCCTCAGGACGCCACTGGTTCTAGCTACATGCTTGTATAATGAACATCTACTTTTCAATCTGGCTTCAGCAGTCAAAATGAAACCCAGGAGTTTTGGGTTTCCCCGTCAGTCACACCACTGAAAACTGGGAATAGCAGAGAAGACAGGGGAGTCCGTAGTCTCTCTCCTCTCCAGGAACCCTACCCTAGGTTTAGATGGTGTCCCTACCCATTGCGGTACCTGTCCCTGTACTCTAATCACTTCGCCAATGCGCACCAATTGCAGCGGGCACTCTTACTTATCAGCATTCACACTGATCTTCCACTTTTTTTTTAGCAGAAGCAGAAGAAAAAACGTGTGACTATGTATTCCTATGGAACTCTTCACACTGATCCGATGCGGGTCAGGTTTGTTTTTCAAAAATGCACCTCCCCACTGAAATCAATGTAAAACAAGGGAAAAAATGCATCAAAAACGCACCAGTGGTTCATTTTTTGGTACGTTTTTCTAGTTACATGTCATGTTAAAATTGCACCGCAAACGTGATAAAAACTAGGCAAAAACACTGTAAAAACGCATATGTGTTTTTGCCACGTTATTGCCATGGATCAGTGTGAAAGCAGCCTAAAGCTTAGTATACACAATGAGAATATCAGACGAATGATTGTCTGTGTTTTTTTTTTTTTTGCTTGCTAGTCTCATATCGAAAAATGAATAGGTTACTGGAGTTAGGAAAATTTCTCATAAGACAAAATACAACTTCCTGCGATGGTGGAAAGCAAGGGTGTCCCATTACATTTCAATTTCATCACGGGGCGGATCAGCATTATGGTTGCCTTCAAAGGGCCAGTTGTATCTGTAAGACTATATATATATATATGTGTGTGTGCGTGTATCGACTCTTTATTTTATTAAATAATTGCCTCTGCATTCGATTATTACTGGTTTTAGCAATAACATAAGACTTAAAGCGTTAATAAAGTATTACTAAACCCACAACAGTAAAATCAGTCTGTATATGCAGTAAAGTTTACTTGTTTATATTCACTGTGAGGTTAATCCTCTGCATTGTGTAAAAAGGCTGTTTTATCCTGCCTTCTCTGATCCTCCCCTTCTTCTACTGTCCCCAATCCATCTGCTAATAGAACAGAGCTCTAGGAAACACTATGTACATGCTCAGTTTGGTATGTATTGCTAGAGGTTTTTTTTTTTTTTTTTCTTTGGGAGGGTGCATGTGAACAGCAAGGGGCCAATCAGCACCTTCCAAAGGATATGCAGCCTCATAGCAGAATCACAGCAAAATAAAAACTCCTCCTACAAGCTTTAACCAGTGCTCAGCTGGACACTGAAAGAAGTCACAAGACTGCTCTATACTGCTGATGAGAAAAGGTATTTAGCAATTTACATTTTCTACATTAATTGTGTAGCATTACCCCCTTAGGAGTCGCTAGAAGAATTGAGTTCCCCTATAGTCATGCACAGCCAGGCATCACCCACAGCCATCATAAAAGCATCCAGAATCAGAAATCAGTTTTTGAGCTTTGGTTTTGTTATATTTAGGGGGATTTTCACTGGGATAGGGTTAGGGGTGTACAGGATGCCCAAGGGTGCCGATGAACTGAGGACAACTTCCTGGATCTATTTACAAGCCTTCTCTACAGCAGTCTCTGTTAGAGAGCTAGCCAGCGTCTCCTTAGTGTACCACCCCAGACCCTGGATGAACTTCTCCTCTTCATCCAGCAATCTGGAGGTTTCCCTCAACAGGGGATCCAGTTCCTGCCCCATTAAGAAATAGACAGTCACTGGTAGGTGGCTAATCTGGTTTCCCACCAGAGTGTTCCTTCCCCTATCCGCCCAGGGGGTGCAGGTGTACTCACTCAGATCACCTCCTGTACTGCTTGTGGATTGGTGGCTGCTACCAAGCCTATCAGCTGGGCCCCTCCTTCCCTGCCATACAGATAGTCCTCTCTCAAGGAGCCGGTGAGGTCTGAGTTTTCCTCATTTCCGATTCCAGGCCTGCATGTAGGCCCCATACCACTGCCCACTGAGCCTCTTTGCAGCCTCCTTCCTTCAGCCT